TCTGTCTGTCTGTCTCTGTCTGTCTGTCTGTCTCTGTCTGTCTGTCTCTCTCTGTCTGTCTCTCTCTCTCTCTCTGTCCGTCTCTCTCTCGGTCTCTGTCCGTCTCTCTCTCGGTCTCTGTCCGTCTCTCTCTTGGTCTCTGTCCGTCTCTCTCTCATTTCAAAACCTATTAGTTTGTGTATATCATATACGAATGGTATTAACCATTGGGTTTGACTTGCATGACTACACATCAGGTATGGTCTCATGTATTTTACCATATGCTGTGTTAATTCTCATACATGAAATTCATCACTTTCGTGTTGAATGTATCAAGTATTAAATCCAAGTTGTATTTGTCCTTGAAATGATTACATGTAATAGATGCCTGACTGCTGAGGGCTTAGGCAGCAAAGTATCAAGTCCCTGATCTAAGTTTCCTATACATTTGGACACTGCCAGTTGCATTCCCTTTGCCTGAGACCTCTAGAGTTATTTGTGCCTTTCACCTTACTTAGTAAAGCATATAACACATGAAGTAACTTCACAAGCTGTGGCCATCATATGTTGTTGTATTTATTTGTAATGAATAAATGATGAATTATTAGAATTTATAATGGTGGTCTCATGCATGTGCAGTATGGGAAGTCATATAGGTTACAACTACAAGCCTTTTTGTTGTCTCGTCACTGTGCTCTTTTGTAGTGCTTCTACCCTTTATCACAATATACACCTGTTGCATGACTTGTTATATTAGTGGGGTAAAGGCTTATTCACACTACAATCTCCGCATTTAGTTCTGCATGAGTATTTACATTGTTTGCTAATGTGTTTGTTTAACGCTGCACTTTAATTTGTTTTTGAATGCACTGTTACTGAACACAGTAGTGTGAATTAGGGCAATTAAAAACCAATGTTTTTACTGTACATGCCTTGGGACGCATCTGGTGTGAACAAACTCTAATGGGTTCTGCAGGGACAGACAGGAAATATAAATGATCCACAGGTAATATGTGGAGTTATCTACTATACATGTCTTTTAGACTTAATCAGGGCTTGAAAATTAACTCACCGGTGTCGGTTGAGTCATAGTGCGCATCGGGTTTAAATAGTAACCAGCGTGCGCAGTGTCCGGCTTTTGACATCAAGACGCTGGGCCGCCAGCTGGCTCTGCCCCCGTCCATCAGAGAGAGTGCTGTGTGGAACGCATGGGGCTTTCCTGTTAACCAGCGGCGGCAGAAGTGTGCACGCAAGTGACAGCCTCTGTCACCCGGCGCGTGTGCAGAATGGGCAAGGGAACCGTGGTCTCTGGCTCTAGCGGTGGGTAAAGTTTTCCTAAGCCTTCCTTCGCAACCACAGTAGCCATAATATTAACGCAAAAAATAGGGAATAATGCATAATAACGCCAGCAGCATTAAAAATGTAATGGAATAAGCCTAGGAGACAGTAAGGGGATATCTGGATGTCATAACAGGCTGTTCTCTAATACAAAGGCAACAAAAGCGACAATTTGGAACGAGTGTTGGTGCTCATGGCAACAGTAAATATAGGCAAATAAACATTATGTAATGTATTGTGGACAGTAAATATACAATACACTGTGGGTATGATATGTCACTGTTGCAATGTATGAAAGTAAAATACAACCTGAGATGACATGTGGGGTGCCGGATGAAGAAATGGAAAGAGTCTACGGTTAAATTAACAAAAATATTTATCATGTTTCTTTCCCTTTTTTTATTTTTCTCTCTTTTTGGGCTGTTGGTAATTTGGTAATATTTTTGTTAATTTTACTGTGGAGATTCCTCTCCTTTGACCCGTGACATGGCAACACCATCTTTCAAATGAAATGAGGGGGTCAGCCTTCAGCTCTGTGTAAACTGTTGAGGAAATGAGTTATTTGGTCAAATCAGATTTCTGACTTGATCGTGAAGTAGGTGGAGTGGGGTCAGACTAAGCCATCTGACCTCCTGGCTCTAAAGTTGGTGCCTGGGTGTCAAGGAAGCCTCTTACCTTCCAGCCGATTTTTCAGGGGGCGGAGCTATAGCATGTACATTGGATTGCTTCCTTCTTTCTGTGTGCTCTGGAACTGCCTCTACAGCTGATGCAGCCCTCTGCTCTGCAGTTGCTCCAGGATCAATATTTTGATGGTGGAAATGCGCACAATGTTCTGTATTAAAGGCACAGGAACAACACCTGGGTGAGGTTTAACCTGCTATTTCACATCAGCAGTCATTTCTATCTGCCTCCTTTACCTTGCCTGTGGAGTTGCAAACCCCTTACCACCTGCAGTGATTGGTCACACAGCCTTCTACCCCTGCTGTCATAAAGGATCAGGGGCTGGTCACCGCTTGGTTGGATCAGTAAATACTTCTAGGGAGCTGGGGTTTAACACTGGTGGACTTTTGCTTTTGGTGCCGCAGCATGTCTTATGACCAGAACAGTGCTCTGGATGCTTTTGTAGGTGAACCCATGGCTCAAACTCCCGAGACCACTTTTTCCCCTTTTTTTTTACCGGATGAATATGGGTTCTGTAGGCTGTCCTTCTTAACCTGGTTGTCTTTTCTGAGAGCCATCAGCCCTGGCTCTGATCTCTGAACGTGCACTCGGGGTCCTTGCCAGTTAAACTCTTAGGGAAGAGTTTCTTTCCCTCCAACATATTGGTTTCCATGGCCCAGCTGTTTGACCTTCGGCAAACTCTTTGCCTCTTTTACCTATCATTCTATACTGACATGTCCGTGTTAGCTGAAGCAATTGTGGACTCACTAGCTAATTGTTTTTTTGAGTACCTCCCCTCCATGGCAAAGGTTGTGCTGCTAGCTTATTATCACTCTGCGATTATTTTCAAATCTATAAAAGGGCTATGAACTTCCTGAGAGAGCTCAATCCCCTCATTCTCCAGCCCACTATCATAAATTCTTTTTTTTTTTTCCAGAGTCCGTTAGGGAGCAAAGCTCCCTTCCATTATATGGTTTTGTTTTCCTTTTTGCCCTGCTTGTTACAACTGAGCAGATATGAAGTGGAAGGGGTTATAGCCTCAAGGGTGCTGGCCTTCATTTTTTTTTATGTGCCTAGTGTACATTTCTCCTGTAGGTTGCAGTATAAGCCAGGTTGCTTAATTATCATCGGACTGTGTTCTATCATTTATTTCAAGGAAAGGATTTTATGGCGAGTACAAAAATCCTATTTTTTTAGACTTACACAGGGGTTTAACTTAAATGCAAGCCTATAGGTCTTCCAACTTATTAAAAATAATGCACTCCCCATGTGTCTGATATCTTAAATTGTTACTGAAAATATGCACACCTAAAATTAATATGAATATTAGGTTATAGTAGTTTTCCAGGTGATCACTGGCAAAAGAGAAATAAACAACTGTATAAAAGATTGTGTTTTAGCCTGAAAACAATCCAAATAGGCCACAGCTAAATCTTTGTAGATGAGCATATCAAGTTCTTTCTCAGTGTTCCTTTCCACCGCCAAATCTCATCCAGAGCCATTTTATATGCCAGTTTTTAAAGACTACCTGAATTCTGTCACATTATTTGTATATAATTAACTTGTGTCACTCTAAAGCATAGCTATTCTTTGATTTGTTTTTGTCCTTGCGCTAATCCCTGTAGCAAATGTTATGTGTCTTGTAAACAAGAGTTTGATCTTGAGAATAGGTGGTCTCAAACATAATCCCAATATTCTAGTCTTAGAGAACAGTATATTCTCCAGAGTTCAGCCACTCAAACTTAAATGATTTTATCAGTAAAGAAGTTTGTTGATGGTATAATGAAGTAAAGCTGGCCATACAGATTTATTCTGGTCTTACAATATGTTTCTTGTTCAGTCTGAGAAAAATCACTCCATTCCTACATACACGTTGAAGGGGACCTTCACTCATTTATATAACAAACTCCCCACTGCCTCCTCCCGCCTCCCTCCTGACAAAATTGCAAGATTTTTTTAAACAGTAAACACACACACAAATATATATATATTTTTACTTTACTGAATTTATGCTTTATTCACAGATTCCGTACATGTGCAGACTGCCACTGGTCTATGCCAGGTCCCATAAACCTCAGCAGTCTGTACATGTGTGTTGGATATAGTGCATGCACAAAGATCTGTGGCGTGCCCACACTGGATCTTTTTTAAGATGATGAGACCCAATGTGTGGCAAGAGATCGGCAGATCACAGCAGGGCAAGGTTGTATTTGCTGGGCGTGTGAGAATGCTATATGAGCACAAGGCAAGAGAGGGTCAAAAGCAACTACCTTGGGGAGAAGGGTGAATTTCCTCTTTAAGAGCATGGATGGAAGAATCTCACCTGCTGGCTATTGTATTCTGACAGCCGGCGCCCGCAGCTGTTAGAATACCAGAACAGTGACTGCAGCTCTTTGCCTGCAGTCACTATTGGGCTGAAAATTTGCCTGCCTTTGGTGGTGCCAGGCTCTCATCCACCGATAGAATTTCAGCTAACTCAGCAGGAAATGGCTGAAATTCAATTTGCATATGACCAATTTAAGAGGCAGCTGGTCTCCTAGGTCTGAAGCTGTTGCATAGATGTATAGCTCTTGGACAGCAATTAAACTTTAATTTCCAAATGTACAGTGCATTATGTTATATGAATAGACATATCATCATTACAGTCTTTTCCATCTGAAAGGCATTATTTTTGGTCTTACAAGAGTTTCTCCCTTTCCGATAGAGAGACCCTACTCTAGCAAAACAACTGTTCAGTTCATTGTTTACCGGGATCCTGGAGGAAATAAAGATCAGCAGTAGCTCATCCCCAATGAAGGACTTAATAACAAAACTGCTTTTTCAATTCAACCACTTCTTGAGCAGCACAGTGTCCTATTTTCCACCATTCATTGCATGTGTTCAGGTAAGTTAAATAGACCCACTCAGAACACTTATTACCTCTATAAACTGTTTACTGCCGGGACATGTTACAAATTCTGAGTTTAATGTTAAAAGTGTGTGTGTGTTTTGCTATAATAACACTGTCATTCAGTGGAGAGCCGACATGAGTCTTCCATAAATGACAAGCCTTCTTACACCATTGCTCCACTGACCTGCACTTAAGCCAGAGCACCCTACTGAACAGAAGAAAGCATTACCCAAGACATAACACAGCTACAATCTATAGCTGCACAGAATATAATATCAACTTGATAACTGGTCAACACAATCAATAGTTGAATGTAAGCACCAAGAGCCACCAGATTCCTGCAGGTTTGGAAAATGAGTGCAAGCGCAGTCTTTTCCAAGCTCAACCTTTCACATAGTGCAAATTAGATCCAGATCTGAAAGTGACATTAAAGTCACATTCTTTTTAGCAAGCAGTAGATATATGCAAAAACATATTAAAAAAAGTTACCAAATAGATAAAAACTTGCCTCTGTCTCCGCTGCTCGTTTCTGGCTGTAGATCTGTAGCTTCTCGAGTGGCCGTGCAGGAGGATGTGTGCGGCCGCATGCGCAGTTGAGATCATCGGCGGGGAGAAGAGTAGAGAGACTCACTGTGAGCGAGCACGCTGGACAGACTCCGTGGGACAGGAAAATACAGAAGTCTGAGGTGGATCAGAGACCGGCACCAGAGGGGGACTGAACACCTGACCAGGCCTAATGCATCTGACATCACAAACGAGGGAAAAATCCATCATCCTCACTCACTTCACATTAACATACCCCTGAAGGGGTCTTCAGGGATGGGATCACCAGTGCAGATACACCACTGCTCTGGATCTGCATAGCACCCTGAAGCTAACCCAACATGCTGCACTATGTGCCAAGGTGAGCGCCTAACACAGGATCCAGTTTCTGAAGCTGCATCACAGAATGAACCACATCTTGCCGGCCGCTCATTAACCATTTGAGGTCTGTTGTGCGTCTGGCCAATGTCTTTTTTTTGTGCGTCTGGCGCTCCAGCAGTGAGATTGGTGTTCGTTAATTTTGAATTTGTAATTTCTTTGCCATTCTGTGTGCTTAACTGTTATGCCGCCATTCACCAAGTGTATTCAGTGGTTTATGAATTCCGCTGCACTGTCCTTTCTGATAGCTGGTATATGAACATGGGGAGTGTTTTTTCCTCTTTGAATGTGGTAACTCCTCATCAGCTACGACTGGCCAGATGGGTGGTCTCTTAGCAACAGAATGCCATTCGTTGATTGGCTGATTGGTTGATTACCCAGCTCTGAAGAAGGGGGTGTGTCACCAGAACGCATTCAGTGGTAGCGTGTCTCTGCAGACAAGCAAAGCTTCTGGATTGTCTCATCTTTCTCCTATTCACCTCCACATCAGAAGTAGTCACAGAGGACTATCAGTCGATTGATGCTTTTAACCCTTGCTTCTTTTGTGAGTAGAATTTGTATACCTATTTTTATCAATTAAAAGGTTTATTGCACCAGGACAGGCGCCCGGTGTATTTTTCTTTATGACCCACATCTTTGATAATTAACCTTGTGGGGTCTGGGTACTGTCCCTGAAGCTCCCGCCGTGGGATGCTGATCCAGATAATGTCATGATTGCCACCGTGGCCATGTGCAACTAAGGATAGACGACATCACGGTAAAACTGGACTATACAACTTTCTCTCAGAGGGAGACATAACACATCCATCACCTAAGTACATTAGCAAAAACCTGAGATCTCTTCTTGTGGGAAGGGTTATATGGCATCCTGCAGCTCTGGCAAGTATCCAGGTACCTGATGATACCGCCATGTTACCCGATCATCTTTGATTCTGTCCTGTTCTGTGCTATCAAGAAACTATGCTGGTTGTGGGCAGGGTTATCCTGTGGTGGCTAACAGTTTGTTTTTTTTGTTGGAAGTATTTATTTCTCCTATATGATGCTCGAGGAGGACTTCGATATAGTAGGAATAACGGAAACCTGGCTAGACAACACACACGATTGGGCCACCAATATAGAGGGGTACAACCTGTCCAGGATGGACAGAGGTGGGAGAAGGGGGGGGGGAGGAGTATGCATTTATGTTAAAAATAATCTAAATACATGTTGAGAGACAACTTCATGGACCAGATGGTGGAGGTCCCTACCAGAAAAAATGCCATCCTAGATTTAATCATAATTAATAATGTGGAGTTAATTGAGGATATTGTTGTTGGGGAGACTCTGGGCAATAGTGACCACAACGCGATCACTTTCAATATTGAATACAGGAAAAGCAAGAGGGCTGGTAGGACAAAAACCCTCAATTTCAGAAGGGCCAACTTTGATAGACTGCGCCACCTAGTGGGGGAAATCGAATGGGAAAATGTAACACACACACACACACACACACACAATAGGTTGGACTTGATGGACATGTGTCTTTATTCAACCTCAAATACTATGTAACTATAGGCAGCAGTAATATGCGACAGTCTACAAATTCCTACGTGGCTCAGTGGACAAAGAAAATGCTGCGGCAGCAAAAGTGTTACGGCTGTTTTCCTACTCGAGCACCTGAGCACTTTCCTTTCCGTTTTTATACAAGGGAAGATATATAGGACATGCAATCTGTTGTTAGCCCTGAAGCTATTCACATCGCATAAATACTCACCTTATAGCAGAGTATTTACAAATAAGACACTAGTGTGACATGCAAAGCTGCAATGTCTTACGCTGGGTTCACACCTTAGCGTATTGGAAACTTGCGTTTGCCGCACGTTTCTTACCGCGCGTTTTTTCCGCGATTTGCGGTAAAAGAAACGCGCGTCAAACGCGAGTTTCCGAGGGGGTATCCGGCTGATAACAGCGGGATACGGGCGTCAATACGCCCCAAAGAAGCTCATGTACTTCTTTGGGCGTATGGCGTTTACCACGCGATCGAACGGGCAGTAAAACATGCAGGTGAGAACCATGCCCATAGGCAAACATGGGTTTTCACCTGTTGCGCGTTTTACCGAGCGTAGGAACGCGCATTAAAACGCTCAGGTGTGAACGGGGCCTTAGTGAGTCACAATGATTTTTTGGTGTTTTTTATTTTGCCTTTGACAATACTTATTCTCCTAGTATTTATGACCAGTATTTTTTGTTTACTTTTAAACAGCACAATTTTGTCTTTTGCAGAATATGTGTTATCATCATGATGAACTCCTTAGTTTGAACCCAGCAAGTGTGAGCACAAGTAGTATAGAAAGTCTGCAGCAGCCACTGGGCATCCTGCTCCTTGAGAAAGGACTGCAGCAACTTCAATTACCAGAGGAGCCTCCAGCAAAGAAAATGCGGGGAAGGACTGAGCCTCCTCCTGATGTCAACAGATGGTTACAGCTTGCACGGTATGCAAGACAGAAAAGAAACCATGATGTTTGTGATTCTTTTTCTAATGTACATTAACAGATTAAAATAAACCTGCCACTATTCTGGGCAGTTCTTAAATCTAGAGTTGAATTTGGCCTTATCTGCTCCTGAGCTTGCCTATTGGTCTTCATGGCTTTCAGTCATATTAAAGAATCACTTGGGAGGTTGAAGGAGTTATAGGCAAGCTCTACTTTTGTTGAGAATTGCATGTCATTTCTATATCTCTGGGTCTGTTGCTCTTTTTGACATGTACATTTCATTGCTTATGTATTTTTCATTATATGCACAGTTTGAATTTAACAGGGCTGTGACAGCTTTTCTTTCAATTTACTTTTGTAAAATGTTATCTCCTCTCATAATCAAGTGCAGACCCAAACAAGACATAACTATACTATCAACTGAAGCTGAGAAAAATGTTGACACTGTCAACCTTACCTGGTTGAATCATGTACTCGACGACATCAGCGGACACTTTGCACAATTCTGGAAAAATATGTATGCTTTCCCCAAGCCAGGATATGTATCCCAGGCTTTTTTCCAGCTCCCTTTACCATGTAATAGGGTACCCCATAAGGGTACCCATCACCCTGTTGTTCAATTTAGCAGTTGAATTGCTCTTGAGGTATCTGGGTAGTGTGACAGATCTCACTGAGGTCAATTTCAATGGCACAGAATTGAAAGTCTTTGTATATTATTGTTCACTTCTTGCCCTGACAACGATCTCCCAGCTATTCAAACCAGCTTTCAAGAATTGTGAGCATTTTTTGGCTTGCACATCACTAAAAGTGAAATACTACCTATTACCTCACACAGAGTAAGTAATTGAATGTTTAACACACATCAGTCTCATCAAACCACATAAACCATTTAGCTATTACAATGAGCAAATCTCCTTTCTCTATATATAGCCTCAATTTATCGCATCTTTTCTCAAAAATTTACAAAGAATAGTAACATTGGTACTTCCTCTTACTCTTTCTTTTTGGCAGAGCACACTTGGTCCTATGGTTAAATGGCAGATCTTTATGCATTTTCTTTTTACTTTAGGTTGTATCGCTCCATTAATGACTATGATGTCCTTCGAGGCATTTTCAGTGGGAAAATTGGAACAAAAAGTGAAACTCAACTTGCTTTAATGGCAGAAGCAAAATCTGATTATGCCGAAGCTGCAAAATTGTATGATAAAGTAAGTGGATCACTTCAGGAACCTTTGGCTTCACTTGCAGGGCATTTTTAAGGTTACTTACATAAAGTCAACTCCACATTACCTCTTTCATTATATTCTAATGACTGTTGTCAACAGTGACTTTATTGTAAAGCAGAACTCCAATTTTCATTGTATTACTCATCTGGGCTAGTACAGAGGGTATAGTACCTCCCATGCATCATGCTCTCTGCATGTCAGCTTTATATAGTACACACAAGGTAATAAAACCTGCCAGTACCTCCTATTCAAATTGCACAAACGTTTCCTGTCGGCTGATTTGTGGATGCCCCCTGTGGATTTCCAGGTTACAGGGGTAGCATACTGGCGATTCTGATGCCACTAGTGGGCGTTACTAGTGGCAGAGTAACTCCTACATACATTATAGCATGGCCAATAACAGAGGAGTTCTCAGCTTCCAGGCACTGTCCACATCATAACTTTCCCCTCCTTGAATGTGTGACAGAGATGTGCCAGTGCTGTTAGAGTGCAGGCTCATACTAACAGGCTTCTTTGCCTGTGACGGGCATTTCATCCAAGGAGCACTCGCCCCGTGCCTCATATTTGCCTGGTCTTCTGTACTAAAAGGTCAAACTATCTTCCCCTGCAGATACTAGCTTTGATCAAAAGGTTCTGCAAGCAGCTATTTAATGCCCTTGGTTCTCTTTTTTTTTTTTTGGGGGGGGGCTGAATCACTTGTGTTGTTTGATGGGTGCCACCCTCAGTTTGAGCATCCCTAGGTTGCCTAGTATCACCAAGCTAAGCAGCTACAACTGATAGGTGTTAATTGGGAAGAGCTACAACCTCAAGGGGGCTAGCCTTCAGTTTACTATGTGCCAAGGGTAGAATTCTTCTGTAGGTGGCAGTATAACCCTAGGTTGCTTATCAAGCTGTGTCCCTCAGTGGACTCCAAGAAAAGGATTTTACAGTAAGTACATTTTTTAAATGCAAGAAGTTTAGGTTTTTGAATTAGACCTGTCATCAGCCTCTTGCAGTCCCTGTATAGCAGAGCTGAAGTGTGGGAGAAAGAAATGGCACGATCAGTGTATGTGCAGACAAGAAGCATGCTGATAGGAAGAGAAAGCAGAGTGACAAAGATGTCAGCTCATCGCTGTGCTACTTCTCTTTTTGCTATCCAGTTACAGGCTTGGGCAGGTTCAGGACAACCTGTGCTCACAGTAAATGGGTTGAACTATGCTGGTCATCACACTGTGGACATCTATTGGCAGAAAACAAAATTACTGTGTTTGTAATTTCTGGATTGAGCATAACTATTGCAGTAGAAGATGGTTTTCCTGTTTTAGTGGGCTTATCTTTTTTTTATTTGGCTTTAATTCTAATTTAATTTCTGATCAAGTGTCCCTAATTTGTTAATCTGTTCATGTTCAAGGCACTGCAGAAGACCTTTTCAGATGGGGATCCCTTTGAAGCAGAGAAGGATTTTTGGGAAATTGCTTCTATGGAATGTTACAATAAACTGACAGAATGGCAGCCGCTTGAATACTGCTCGACTCTCAACATTGACAGTGCAAACCCTCCAGATCTCAACAAAGTGTGGAATGATCCTTTTTATCAGGTGTCCTTATATATAGTTCAATATCACATGTATGGGTTGTAATGCCTTGGTATTTCTTTGTGACCATCACTTTTTTTTTTTACTACAGGAAAATTATCTGCCTTACATGATCCGTAGTAAAGTGAAGTTGCTTCTTCATGGAAAGGAAGACCAATCTTTATTAACTTTTATTGATGAAGCCATGAAGGTGGAACAGAGAAAAGTTTTGATGGAAACCTTCTATAGTCAGGAGATGAGTCTTCTATACATAATGCAAGATGATTTTGACCGGGCAAAATATTACATCAAAAATGGAATTGACGTCTTTATGCAGGTGTTTTTTTGCTTGGTTGGTTAAAAATTCTGTTATGTCCAGAGTCATAGCCCTGTAGCAGGCTTACAAATATATGTTGTGTTTTCTTTTCTAGAACTATTCAAGCATTGATTCACTGATGTGTCAGAGCAGATTAACTGAACTACAGTCGGTTCAGGCTCTCTCAGAAACTCAGGATTTTATTGAATTTATCCGTGTTCCAGGTACCTGGTATTCCAGCTGTATTGCTTTGTGATACTTAGCCATTAAATGTGAACTACTCCTTTTTTTATTATTATACATGAGCCGCAATAGTACTGCTCTGCAAAAGTGTGGTTCTAACCAGTGGCAGATTTACAACTCAGTAGAATGTAGGCATAGAACCAAGGCAAAACCAGGGCATGTGATGCTATGTTCTAAGTTTTCGATACATTGCAGTGACTGTTTACCAGTCACTGTACTCTAAAACTTTAATGCTGCTGGAAGAGCCCCCATACTCTATTACCTGCTTCTCTACCACAGTAGGTTTACAAATGATGGGGTGGTGAATTGCCCACCATAGTTTATTAATGTCACTGTAGAAAAAGTCCTTGGGTAGCTGTTGCACCTGCTAATCGCTGCAAAACAGTGTACAGACTCAATCTAAGTGGCTATGTAGTATATGTGACCCGTTTAAAAAGATGTCACCAGCACACCATAATGTCCCTTTCATCAGGGTCAGAATGACAGTGGTCATTCTTAGCCTGATTTAGTGCTCCTTCCGTGTGAAGTTATTGTCTTTGGTGATGACCTTTCCTTCGTTTTGAACATTTGGATTATCCTCTGTGTCCTCCATCTGGTCATATTGCTCGATCCCCCAGTTCAGGGGCCTGTTAGCAATTTTTAAGTGTTTTGTTCACTTATTAAGAACTCTTTCTAAATTGCATTTTCATTTTATGCATTATTATCATAGGCAATTTAACATCTTTGCCAGCACTAAAACGATTACTTAAACGTTGGAAAAGTAGATATCCAGATGATAAAATGGACCCTATGAATATTTGGGATGACATAATTACAAACAGGTAGAGATATCTTGCTGCACATTACTTTTTATTTTTTTATACACTAAAAAGTAATTCTAAAATCAAGTGTCCCCGGTATTAATAGCTTAATCCATCTCTGTGTGTACATGATTTTGTTGTCAGGTGTTTCTTCCTTGATAAAATCCAGGAAAAACTTTCCAGTCAGCATATGGATGAGAGTATGGAAATAGATAATGAAGCAGATGACAGTGAGGCTATGGAAGTGGATAAGAAAGAAGATGTAAACTTTTTGATGAAAGAATGCAAATTTGTGATGAAAATGAAAATGGTGGGCAGTGCTAGAAAACAGGTAATATTGCGGCACTGCAACATCTGTTACAATTATGGCTTACACATTTTTATTTAAAGCTATTGTGTAGTACTTTAAATGAATTTAAATATAGTTGTAAATGTAAGACTCCCTAATGAACATATGTAAACCAACACTGCTGGGTTTACAGGACAGATAAACAATCACAGCACCTTTAAACGTTTTTTGATTATACATCGCAGGGAACGGGGTTAATTCTTGAACCAATGGGTTTTGCAGCTACCTTCAGGTTATTGGAGACTGGTAAATCAAATATGTAGAAACAGCCCTGTATAGTCCCTTCCACTCCAATGACCGCAGCTGCCTTCCGAAGGCAACCACATTAAGATACAGGTAAACCAGGGCCCAGTTCCTGCAAAAGGTGGCCAGTGTTGCAGCCCCTATCCCTGCTTATGGGGGGTGGTTCCTGCCACCTTTTTTTTAATTTAGTGCCATTTTGGCCTCTCATAAATAGCTGAGTGGGCACCTTTCAGCCTGCACAGGCTCTCTCTGGGTATGCACCTGCCACTTTCCTTCTTCTGGCGTGTGCTGAGTTGGTCATACTCTGCTACTCCAGCTGCTGTGACTTTGCAGTACAGCACACTGTGTCACCATTACTGCCTACAGTGTCTTGGTACAAGGCACCCTCCAGCCTCTGCATTTGTGAGTACCTGGGGCTTACATCTCAGTGCAATGGGAGATCATAGATGTGAGGATGTTTGGTCAGCAGGCTCTAGGGCCACATATCCCGACAACAGTTATGAGGAATGATCTGTCCCTTCTGGGGATACATTTTATGACAGTCCTATGCCATGGTCATTTTCCCCATTGCTGTCCTCCTCAGCTCAATCCAGATAACCCTCCTTTATTGTCTTTATCTACAGAGGAGTTTACTGCTGTAATCTCTGAATTTTTGGGTAAAATGTCTAACCTTTTGAAGTCAGACCACAGGGGGCGCAATCAGGCCTCCTCAGAGTCCCTCTCTGACCTTCCTCTGTCTGCCTTTGCACTTCCAGAGGAATAAAAAGAAAGGGCTGCTTCCTGCTCTGTGGAGGCCAGGAAAAGGACCTGTCCCCTTACATCTCTCCTACGCTAAAGGACTGCTGCTGTCCCTGTGGAAGCAGTGTGTACTTGTTTACAGTTATAGGGCCATCTGCATCACCCTTGACCAATCCTGCTAAAACCTTCTCTATATATTCGCTTTTGCACCTGGTGTATGATGACTGGGATCAACCTGAAAAGTTTAGCCCACAATATCTTTTGTAAGATAAAGAATTTAAGAGTCCCTGTTAGGGATGCACTGAAAGTTCGGCCGAAAATGGTACTTTTGGCCAAAATTGCGGTGCATCTCTGGTCGTTCTCCTCCCCGCTGTGCGCTGCTTTGTGTGTGCTCTCACACAGCGCAGCATCCAGCAGGGAGGAGAGAAACTGTCACAGGAGGCTGAGGTGTGTGGGGGAGGAGAGCGCTGTGTGCAGCCAGCGTGTCACAATAGGCCGGGCTCTCCTCACACCGTCCCGCTTGGCTGTGACAGATGAGGAGATTGGCGCGGGTCGTGATGCGGCGGTGGAGTCAGCTGTCACAGTAGACCGATCTTTTCTCCCTGCTCGCTCAGCCTCCTGTGACAGCAAGCCAGGATGGAGAGCGGGTATAAGCAGTCAGCGCTCTGATCGCTGACTGCTTGTAAATAATGGAGGACAGAGTATGTTTACTGTGTCCTCAATTGTGAATGAATGGGAAGTGATCTACATCATCTCCTGTTCATTCATGATTGTGGACATGGCAAACATACTATCTCCACAAGTTATGAATGAACAAGGGTGTAATGAAGTGTACAGCGCTAAATGCCCTTCAGGAAATTAGATAACGGTAGGGATCATATGGTGTCACCTCCGTGTCAAGCAATCGTGAAACAGTAAAAGGTTAGAAAAAAATTATTTTCAGTTTCGGCCTGACGTTTATTTTATTTTCGGTTTCTGTTTTAAAATTTTCATTTTGGTGCACTTCTAATCCCTGTAGATGTCCCTGTTTTCAAATACCATGTGGACAAGACGTTGGAAGCCCTCTTTACCTTCAAAGATCCTTCTATACAGCCTGCTGTTAACCACCATGCTAATGTGTTAGATTTTAACTGTATGGTCAAAATCTATGGCTAGAAATGACAGCGACTCTCGAGCACTTTCAACAAATTTTTCTCAGGTCCACTCTTCTGCTGATTGACAGCAGGCAGAGGGTGCGAGCAATAGCCAGCCTGCTATTGAAATTTGAAATAGCCATTAGCAAGCTAGCTATTGCTCCCACCCACTGTCCGTTGTTTACATTGAGCTGCTGGCTGTGGAATCTAGCCACCAGGCAGCAGCAAAATGTAAACAGATCATTTAAAAAATGTAAATGAATGTAGTTGCTAACATTTTTTAGTATGCACAGGTCTATCAACTAACTGGCAAAAGAAAATCGAGGACATATTACGTCCTCCGTTTTGTTTTTGTGGTTTTTTTTTTCGGTTGCTTGAATCCTGGATAATGGGGAGTTTACTGTAAAAATGTAATCATAATGACCATACTATCATCCTCTGGAGTTAACGCTTGTCCTTTGCCTCTCCTACTAGACAGTGTAAAGATTAATATATTGGTAAAGCTTCATGCACTAACATTTCACTTTTTTCTTTTCTTTTTTTTAACAGAATAACTTTTCTGTTGCAATAAAACTTTTGAAAGAACTTCACCGTGAGTCTAAAACTAATGAAAACTGGTTGTTGAAATGGGTTCACAGCTACTGTAGCTACAGTCACAGCCGCAGCAAGAGCCAGAGCTGTCCTGAACAGATACTTACTATACTAAAAACAATCTCCTTACTGGGTAAGAACTGTGCTGTGTGGCTTAGTGTTTTACCAAATATATGAAGGTAGAGTTTGTGTTTTAACCTGAACTCCAGGCAGATTATTAATGATTGCATTTGCAGCTAGAATGAGTATCTAAATTTGACTTGATGCTAGCCATGTGTAATCCCCTGTGCAGCAGCACTAGGTCCCTCTCTGGTGAGTTACATACAAATGCTCTGACAAGTAACAAGCTGACAGATGGAGAAAGCAAAGAGAGACAGTGTACTCTATCACTCTGCTGATGCCCGTTCACTATTCATAGTGCCAATCATATTCCTTGAGTGTAACAGAGTGTAACGTGATGTTATCTTCCTGGCTTTTAAAATCTCAATATTGAATGAAATGAAAAGAAATGCATATCTATTTGCAGGTAAAACAGCTCTGATATATGTTAAAAAAAAAGTACAAAATTGAGCCTTCTCTGGTGCAATATTATTTGTTTAAAATCAGTAATGGTAAAACATACTCACAATGACTTGTGGATACAGAGCCTCGCATTGAAACCAGCGACACACACAGACCCAGCCATCCACATGATGTAAAAGAAAACATGATTCCTCAGACCAGGCCACCTTCTTCCATTGTTTTGTGGTACATTTCTGATGCTCACATGCCCATTATAAGCACTTTTGGCAGTGGATACGGGTCAGCCTGGGCACCCTAAACAGTCTGTGGCTAGGCAGCCTCATACGCAACAAACTGAGACGCACTGTGCATTCAGACACCTTTCTATCGGAGATGGCATTAACTTTTTCAGCAATTTGAGCTACAGTAGCTCTTCTACAGGATAGGACTAAATAGGCCTGCCTTCGCTCCCCACGTGCATCAGTGAGCCTTGATCACCCATCACACTGTTGCTGCTTCACCGGTTTTCCTTCCTTGGGCCACTTTTGGTAAGTCCTGACCGCTGCAGCCCAGGAATATCCCACAAGAGCTGCAGTTTTGGAGTTGCTGTGACGTAGTCATCTAGCCATCACAATTTGGCCCTTGTCAAAGTCACTCAAATACTTACACTTAAGGGACAAATTGTTCTTTGGCTGCCTAATATATCCTACATACTTCCAGGTGCCATTGTAAGAGATAATCAATGTTAGCTGGACTAAAGCCCCAGTTCCAGCTAGAGAAAAACAGCCCCAAAGCATGATGCTGCCACCACCATGATTCACTGTGGGTATGGTTTCTTTTGGTGATGCACAGTGTTGTTTTTGCGACAAACATACTTTTTGGAATTCTGGCCAAAAAGTTAAATCTTGGCCTCATCAGACCATAACACATTTTCCTATATATGCTTTTGTTAGACTTGATGTAGGTTTTTGCAAAATGGAGCCGGGCTTGGATGTTTTTCTTACTAAGAAGAGGCTTCCATCTTGCCACTCCACCCTACACAACAACGTTTTTTTTGTGGGGAGGGCTTTCAATAGAGTGGAAATGGATTAGTCAAATTTATTGCTGTGTCCACATTAGGGAGATTCACCCTCTATATTTTTCCTGGTCACTGTTCTCAGTAATAATGAAAATGATCATCATTTGGTCATCAGAACAGGAATATATAGGAAATCTTCTTCTGGGGACACTAGTTCTGGTGGCCCTGCTGACCATCAGGGATTTTTCTCTCTTTGAAGGGATTTCCTCTAACTTTCTGTTGTGGCTATCGGACAGAAAGTGAAGGGTAATCTTCCCAATGGGGCAAATAAAAAAGGCTGACAGGAGATATAACCCTCTCTTACTGTGTCCAAAACTAAAAATAAGTGTTTGCTTCAGTTCTTCTTTAAGTATTATTGTTGTAATGTACAAAATTGTTTTCCAATGTAACAGAGGAAACAAGTCCAGAATATGTAAACAAAAATCCATGTGCATCCAAATATCATAACATATTATTGGGAGCCACTTACAGAATCATGGGAAATGCAATATGCAAGGAGCCAGACAGTCTGGAAAGAATTGAGACATCAAAGGCTGGAAGAGTCGTACAGCTTGCAGAATCAGCAGATGAGGTACTCATCCATCTAATTAAAATTATAAAAAAATAAATAAAAATGTTTACCAAAATCTTTTTCATAATTGTTCATCAAAGGATTCAGGATCAGTTGAATCAGTAACATTAGTTTATAATGCCGCCTTCAAAAGGAATTTGGAGGCAAAAATTAAATGAAAAAAAAAAACTGTTCGCTAACCAAGTTTAACCCCTCCCACACCCATGATGCTTCATTTTTTCCATGTGTCCTAGGAGCACAGAAGCTTTTTTTCGAGAGAAGTTAAACCATTTTTCTAGAAATGTTTACTTTTATCAAGACTATTGTTACTTCATTCAAGATTATTGGTTAAGCTGCTGACTTGGGACTTTTGCGGCTATCCGAATTAGCTAACCCTCAGTGTCATCTTGAAGGCATAACCTGGACCCTACTTAACTAAGAAATGTAGGGCTAGTCTATAATGTGACCCTCAGTCCCTGAGCTGTTCTTGGGGCACCCCCCAGATACCTAATGTACTGGTTTGTTAGCTGCAGAGTGCTTTACTGGTCTTTAGGGGGAAAAATCTTCAGGTATTATCCTAATCCATAAAGACTCCTTAGGTGTATGCCTGTGGTTGGGTCGAAGCATGCCTGGAGTGTGACATGTTTACTGGTTTCTACATGGGGGCGGGGTTCCTCGACTTCGCTAATGTGCTTGTTAGCCACTGGATGCTCACCAGGTAACTGTGTTAAGTTAGGGCCATGTCCCTAAATGAACATGGCACATTTTTACAGTTAACGTGCTGGAGAATTACACTGACGCTAAACTCAGGAATTAAATCTTAAAAATGCATTCAAGTACCCTAACTATTACCAAAAATGTAGCTCATTTGTTTATCACTTGGATGTAGATCCTCAAATCAACTCTGAATTCATGCCAATACTGTCCTTCCTTATGGAGTGTGGCTACTTTTGTTTCCCATGATTTTTGTGTGTGTTGTAAAGTAGTCACCGCTCCAAGCATGCTCCTATGATGGATTACCATATTAATATAAATTAGTACACTAAATGTGAGATTGTAGTCCATCACAGGAGCAAGCTTGGAGGGCTACTTTACAACAAACAGGGACCGTGGGGAACAAAAGTAGCCACCCTCCAGAAGGAAGAACAGTATCAGTACAAATTCAGAGATGATTTAAGGATCTACAGCCGAGTGGTGCACATATAATCTATATTTTTGTTAATAGTTAAGGTACTTGAATGCATTTTTAAGATTTAACTCCCGAGTTTAGTGTCACTTTAAGTACTGCATCATACCTGTGTCACATGTGCTCTTACACTGCTTCTTCCTGCCTTTCAGCATAAAGTAGTTTCTTGCCAATGCTTTCTTTGTAAGGGTTATCTTGGTCTGTCCTTGCTGCCTCTTCATAGTGACTCAGTCAACTCCCGCTCCGTACTCCAGGTGGTTCGGCTGTGTGTGACTTTGCCTTAATGGTACCGTACAGTGGCGTAACTACCCACATAGAGCAAAAAAAAATAAACAGTCTAAAGCGCTACTACCAATTATGTTCAGAGTTTGAGTGGTGTTGAAGCCAGAATGGCTTGAGGCATACAGGATGTATGTGAGATATTCCTACGTTGGGTGTCAAAGGAGTGAAGGAGAAAAAGATAACAGTTGTAACATGGGTGATGGTACCATGTTAGAAAACGTGTAGTAACTCACCATGAGGTTTTCATGGATGTGCTGTCATCGACGTCGGGATTTGTGCAGGGGGGGTTTTGCCTGAAGGTGGTCTTACGGAATCTTGTGTGTTGATTGGAGTGCCACGGCTTGCTGACCCTGTCGGCGTGCTGGTAGGCAGCGGGGCTGGAGAGGTGACGGTCTTCCCCGCTGGTGCCGGGGGTGAGGATGTCCTGTCCGTTGGTGGATAGGGGGACGCTGATTAGGTCCCACTGGGGAAAGTGGTGATGCCGGAGAGTTGAGCCCGCAATGCGGGCTCAAGTTTCGTTAACTTTTCGTTAGACAGGCGAGTGCCGGTCTGCCCGGGGATGGTGGCCGAGGTGTCCCAGACGCAGGTCAGAAGTTCCTGTTGTCGTGGTAATGTGGCAACGCGTTTTAAAGACTACGTTTTCCTTGTCAAGCCAGTGTGGGGGAGAGGGATCTGGAGGGAGATTTTAAACGAAAGGGGCGGGGGGCGTGGTTATTTGATTCATGTGTTGTAAGATGAATTGGGGGTGTGTTCTGAAATGAATATTGGGCATGAGAGAATGGGTTTAAGAGCTGATTGGCTTCAATTATTTGGGATAAATAATCATGGAGGGTTCAATAAGGAGTGTTGTATTATATTATGGTACTGATTTCAAGTTCGTCATTGAGGCCAAATGGGGAAAGTGTATTGAGCTTATAGATCCAATAAGTTTCCTGTTTGCATAGCTCGTGGAATCTGCTGCGGGTAGGCGGTCTGGGATCTGCTCGATGACCAAAACTTGTAGAAATTTAATATTTTTCTGATGTTTGTGAAGGAAGTGGCGTGGGACACCGTGTTCGGTATTGCCTTTTTCAATGTATCTTCTGTGCTCCCCTATTCGTTTACGTAAGGGGCGGATGGTGCGGCCTATATATAGCAGGTTGCAGCGGCATCTCAGGCCGTAAACTATACAATCGTGGGCTGTGCAAGGTCACTCTCAGGCGACCTGTGAGGGGTCTCAGGTGGGCTTTGCGGGGTCACTCTCGGGTGGTCTAAAGAAATATCTAAAGACCCCCGCGCCATTCTTACTGATGATTCAGTTATGGAACATTTGCAGCTTATGCTTGTTGCATTACACTGTTGTGTTAATATTCTGCTGGACATTGTCCGTTTCGTTTCTAGAATGAGGCTTCTATCTATTAATATGTGGAAGACTCTATGGTTAAAATACTGATCTGTGTAAAATGCGATTTGCTATGCATGCCCTTGATGGAGAATGTCTTTGGAGTTCCTGCAATAACTTTATCAAAGATGTCAGTGGTGGTAAAATTACTTTTTACCACAACAAAAGAGAATTATGCCTCCCGACAGGCAAAATTTAATTATTCCTCTTAATGCCCAATTCTGTCATAAATACTGAGCTTCTAAGTCCTCCAAGCTAGCAGGAAATTCATCCTCACAATAAGGGGACGCCTCCATTTTCTGAAGTAGAAAGATATCTATTGGCCTTTGTGGATGCCTGAACAGAGTATTTCTGATGCATGGGCAAAAGACTTGATCTCCAAGGGCTGCAAGTTACTGTTTTAAGTTAGTTTTAATCTGTGCAATTACCACACTTCCTATTGTCCAATCTGCCACCCTCTTTGCGAAGACTAACAGATTTCAATGCTGCCCTGACAGAAATCCTAAGTCAATGATCTTTGCCATTGCTCCTCAACTGCAAGGCTTTAAAGTATTTTTACTTAGACCTTTTCACTGGTCTAAAAGCAAATGAGGGCACCTGTCCCATTCTGGAACTGAAAGCACCCAATGTCCTTATTTGAGGGCTAACATGGAATACAACTGGTCGATCTTAGCCTTCCTCTGCCTTTGAGACTATCTTTGGACATCAAGGTTGTGCACTTGCATGTCTCCATCTTTCCAGCAAATTATTATGATTATACAGGATTTATATAGCGCCAACAGTTTGCGCAGCGCTTTACAATATAAGGAAGACATTTAATCTCAGGAAATACTCTGTGGACAGATCATCACCTTTCAACAATTTGGCCTGGATCAACAATTGGCTTTGAGCACCATTGAGGGACAAATTTTAGCTCTTGCAATTTTGTTCCAAGGACTGATTTTGCACTTCTTTGTCAAGGTCTTTGTATAAGGTGTAGCTCACATAGTCCCACCTGTACAGCCTTCAGTGACTTCATGTGATCTCAACCTTGCTCTCTCAGCTCTTCAGAAAACACTTTTTGAACCCATCAGCGGTATCTTTGTCTATCGTAACTCATAAAGTAGCCTTCATCATTGCCATAAACTCTGCCCGGCAACTGAATAACTAAATGTGACGAGTTACTCATTTTTCACGTATACACACTCGCAGTGGGTGTACATTCCAGTGCTTTGTAGCTGTTAGCTTGCTTATTGGCGCAGTTCATTTTCTATATATTATCTGCCCGGCAACTGTCCGAGTTGGCAGCCAGCCTTGTCTTGTAAAGAACCCTTTCGTAGCCTTCACAAGAGTGAGGTTGTCCTGAAGCCCAGTGCCTTCTTTTTCCCTAAGGTGGCCTCTAATTTCCACCTTAATCAAAACATTGTTCTTCCACCCCTCTGTCCTTCTCCAGTTCATCCTAGGGGGATTATCTCTCCATTGCCCGGATGTAGTTAGAGCTGTTTTATGTCTACCTCGCAGCTTCATCTTCTCTCAGACTGAATCTCTCCTTCATTCCAGAAGGTCCCTATAAGGGACAGCCTGCTTCACACTCCACCATATCTTGGTGGTTCAAGCAGATTATTTTTCAAGCCAACAGACTTAAGTATAAGGTTCAATCTTTTCCTTATCCTCAAGGTGCACTTGAGTGCTTCCTGGACTTTTCAGCATCAAACTTCTGTTTACCAGCTTTGCAAGCCGCCACCTGGTTTTTAGTGTACTCGTTCTCCAAGTTTTACCAGCTGGCTGTTCAGGTATCTGTGGATGCAAGCTTTGGCTGTATGGTTCTGCAAGCAGCTCTTTCAGTTGCAGGCATTCTTCAGTGTTTTTCACTGTAATTTTTTCTAGGGATGTTAGGGGTTGTTGTTGCCCTCCCCTCAGTTGGAGCGCTTTGGGAAGTCTCAATGTTGCCAATTCATCTGATCCTGTGTAGTTTAATGGATAATCAAGTAAACTGGATTTTTGTATTAACTGTAAAAACCATTTCTTGGGTTTCATTAAGGGACATGAGTTCCACCTCTCTGTGACTATGACATACTCTTAATACGGCTTTTCCCCAAAAAATTAAAGCATTGTGTGAGTGGGAGGGGTTATTGTTGGCTTGGCTTTGTTTTGGCTGTTAGTGTCCAATTCCTACTAAAAGTGGCGGTATAGCTCATTGATCCTGATTCATGTGAGCATGTGTCCCGATATGAATTCCAAGAAAAGGATTTTGTGGGGAGTAGAAAAAATCCTGCTTTTATTAACACTAGTGAATTTCTGCATTATTATAAACTGTTGATTGCAGGTAGCAGCGGGACTGTATAGGAAGTCCCTTCATTACTTAAAATGTGCAGCCAGAAAAGCTTCAGAAGAGGAACAGTCATGCTCGAAGGAAAACACTGACCGCAAAGGAGTCATTAAAGCTTACATGACCTTGGTGGACTTTTGTGACGCACATCTCCGGAAAGTAGAAGACAACTCATCAGGTATCACCTTGTGTATATACAGGGGTGGGCAGAGACTGTACTGCAGACCTAGTACTGCCTTCTTTTAAGAGTGTTGGTAGAGATAAGATCCCCAGCAACAATATGTATTCACATAAGCTAAGCAATGCTTATTTTACCAGGCTTGACACACACATTGTTGGGCTTTTACTGTATTTACAAGAATTATTTTGGGATTTTCCCTTGATGATTGGAATGTTGTAAACATCTTTCTTTTTATTTGCCTGCAGCATTATGAGTATTATGTGACATTAAGACCTCATTCACACCTAAGCCTGATTGTAGCCAGACAGTTTAGAGGGTTTTTTTGTTTGGATGTTTTTATGCACAGCTTTAAGTACAGGAGCAGAATCAAACATTTTTGCTTCCATGGATTTGTAAGTCTGAGCTTGTTTTTCAGATACTATTGGACCTAAAACACACAATACTGCCCCAAAAGTTTATGGGGCCAAGTTTTAATACTGCATATTATATTTCATAGTCTTAGAAATCAATTATCCTTACTTAAACGTTGCCTAAATTGTTCTCTGCCTGTTTTATAGTATTGAATGCACAGGACCTGAAACAGTTTCCTGAAATCATTGTGGAAAAAATGATTAGAGCATTAAAATTAGAGTCTGAAGAAGCACGGCTAAAATTTCCAAGATTGCTTCAAATTATTGAATTGTATCCCTCTGAAACTTTGGACTTGATGACTAGAGAGGTAAGTTTGAAGTATTCTTAATAACACACCTGACAAGCGGTGTCTTTTTCCCCCCCCCCTTTTAGAATTTCTATAGATGTCTTTAACTGGCATTATAGTTTACTCTGTATATGCTGTATTCTTTTATGCAAGTGCTTCTGTTCAATATACTGTATAGACTTGTCAAACTACAATGGCTGTGTTATTTTAAAGTTGAAATTAGCATTACCTTTACCTCATTCCAGGTCAGTTCAGTTGCATGCTGGCAATTTATTGGCTGGATCAGTCAGATGATGGCGATGCTTGACAAGAAGGAAGCTATTGCGGTGCATTTTATAATAGAAGAAATTGCTGACCATTACCCCCAGGCTCTTGTGTACCCCTTTATGATTAGTGGGGACAACTATAGCTTTGCGGGCACAGTGGATGGGCACAGAAATAAAGATTTTGTGGAAAGGTAAATGTACACAAGTATTTTGTTTGTGACCTCAATAATATATGTGCGCACAGATCAAATTCAATGCAATTGCTATGACTTAATTAGTGGTCTGGTGTCCCTAAATTGCATGCACAGATTCCAATAGCTTGGTGGTTGCAGCACAGGACAGAGCCATTGTATGTTTGTTCTAGGAAAAGGGACAGCCAGACAGCAGCAGGTAGTTTCAGGAAGTCAGCAAAAGCAGTCTCTGTATTTCGGTCATTGCAAGTTTCTTTTAAAGGGAAAGAAGGGTGTGTTTCAGTGAGGACATATATCCTTTCTAATAAAACATTTCTGGTGCTTTTTTTTTTTTTAAAGAATTCAAAACAAGTTGGATAAAAATGGATTAGGTGGAGAATTCATCAAGGCTCTGGAGCAACTGTCTAATCCTGTTTTGATATTAAAGGTAAATGATTATCTATAACTGCTTGACTTGAGAAGAATGCACAGAGACTGCCTTTTGGCTAAAGTTACCTCAAAGCTTACATAGTGGTCAATGGAGATCATGGTAGCTGTAAATTATACTGCATTAATTACCTGTGCACTCAGGTCTGTTTACCTTTGCCTGATCGAAACCTAATGTAGCATCTTTTATTCTAGTGTAATACCCGGTAAATGCATCATTTCTTCTGTTATGGCAAGCTCTGCAATTCCAGTGCCATCAATTAAAACTTCCATCAACTATATCTTATTATTAGAGGTGTACCGAAATGGAATTTTCAGACCAAAACCATTACTTTACTGTTGCGTGCTCTGGGGTAATATCAGGGGTCTAAACAGACCCATGGCATTTCCCTTTTGAAATAGAAAAAGAGATTGAGGACACAGAGCCATCAATCTCTTTTTCTGCAGCCCCTGTTAATTACCTCTATACTGAATGCTCCTTTCCATTCATAAACTGTAGATATAGTAAGAGTTACTATGGCCACAATCATGAATGAACAGGAAGTGATGTAGAGCACTTCCTGTCTATTCATAATTGGCAACACATTAAACATACTATTGTGGATAACAATAACACAGAACATTTGACCTATATAGCATATATAATCCCCATAACGTGCTCCCCCACTAATCAAATAATAAAATCCATGTGTAAATTTCAACATATTAGATCATTAAATACATCCCACCTTCAAAATACATGGGCATAAATATATATATTTTTTTAAAACGTGTAAAAAGGAAAATCTATCAAATAAATACAATGTGACTCAGAGTTCCTTTAAATAACCCCAGTAGTAATGAGTGCTCTAGTGATAAAAACAAGCCCGTTTTTTCTGCAGAATCACTTTCAACTGTGTGTGATTAATCTTCCAGACAGCTCACTCACCAGAGGTTGTTGGTCATTTGAAATAAAATGAACAAATAGCACTTACTCTTTGAGCTGTGGAGTTGTGGCCACTTTGAAAGAAGTTTAGTGTGAGAAAGCCAAATATCTGGAGATCTGTGTCTGTGCAACCATTATTAAGTTACATCGGTGGAGAGGAACAACTACTAGTGCCGGTTCTAAACTGGATAGAGGGAGAAAATGTATGTGGGTACTACTTATCTGGCAGCTGACTCCTCCCCTGCATCGTTGGATTGGCTTCCTGTGACAGCTGATAGCTGTCTCCTTCCCTGATCTGCCTATTACAGAAGGCCGAGTGGGACGTGCGGGAGAAGAGCTCAGCCTCATGTGACACCACCGCTGATATCTCTCTCCTCCCTGCCCCGCTCATCCTGACAGTTTCTCTCACTGCTGAGCACTGCTCTGTGTGACAGGGGACACAGAGCAGCACCCATCGGGGAGGAGAGAAACTAGGAATGCACTGCATTTTCGGCCAAAAAAGATACTTTCAGCATTTTGCCCACACTACCATTTTCGGTGGTCAAAATTTCGGTGCACCCTTACTTATTATTACTCTCCCCCATCATTCTCCTTTACAGTGATTGTAGTCCACTACCAACATATTTTGGACCCTCTGATTTATGGATAACATTTTGCCCCCCCATTGTAATCAAATTAATGAATGTGTTCATTTTATAATTATTTTAACTACTCTCCGCCCGCCCGTTGTAAATAACGGACAGACAGCAACTCCCTCCAGCAGGGCACTGTAAAAATGGCATTTTGTTTTTTGCTCACGCGAGCCCCCTAGGTCTCACCCGCGAGCAGAAAACACTGCTACTTGTAAACAGCCATTAACGGCTGTTACATACAAACGGTTGGGCGTCTCTATAGCTGTCTGATCGCTTGTACGGTGTCCAGCAGTGTGTGCCCTCATCTTTCAGAGATGCCCCCCTCCGCTGCCGTTACCGACTATACCGGGCTCTGCTGTCCTTCTACGGGACCGGCCCGGCCGCTCTTAACATGAAGACCGAAGGGAGATCAGCACTCTTCCACCTGCTGATCTCCACTCCAATCTCTGAATGCGGAAGTGGTGTGGATTACATCACTTCAGCATTCAGCTGTCAGTCCTCTGGCTGCTATAGCCAGAGAAGAAGCTGGTGAAGCAGATCTCTGCTTCATCAGCTTCTTTGGGGGCCCCCAGGTGACATTAGGGGTCTTAGATAAAAAAAGACCTATCAGTGTACCTGTACTATCACATAAGGGGGGTTGTTAGCCCCTAAGTAATAGCAATAACATTACTTGTAAAAAAAAAAGTTAAAAAAACCCCCCCAAACACTCATAAATACACATCTGGTGCGCCAACGCTCGAAAACGACAATTGCGCCGCACATGTTACATATCACTGTGAACGTCGGAGTGAGAGCGATAATTCTAGGGCCATCAATCACTCATAACACTAAACTGATGAGCGGTAGTTTTTTGCAGTTTCACAGGCACAAGCAATGTCAAGGCTTGACATGTTTGGTGTCTATTTACCTGACCTGACCATGTCTTTTATATTTTACCAAAAAATAATTCATAATTTGTCCTTAATATAGTAAAAAAATAAAAACAGTACAGTGTTGCATGACTGAATAAATGTCAGTCAAAGTACCGCATCGCTGAATACTGAAAAATGGCCTGGACCGGTAGGGGGTTTAACACCCCGGCCATCAAGTGGTTAATGCCAACATTTTCACAGTGTGCTACATCATATGAATTGGCTTGACCACGTATTTATGGTATGTTTTCATTTCTAATTTGCCGTCAATAAAAAAAGCATTCATGTTTCTGTAGTAAGGCATTAGGAATCCATGACCTGTGGATGATTGTCTTGTGTTAGTTATTGCCATTAGTCTCATGTTAGCTATTGGGAATTGGTACAGGTATTGGGAATTTGTATTTAAGTTGCAGTTAACACTGGTCTGTTTCAGGCCTTTAAACATGTCTCCCTTTGATCCTATTGTTTCCTTTCCTATTATTGTATTCACACATGATAGTATGTATACATGAAATGTGGGTGACTAACTGATTGTATTTACATTAAGGACTGGAAAAGTGACGTTTTCATTGAACTGTCTAAAGTAAAGCCAGACAAAAGTAAAATTAAGAAGTTGTATAAGGAGATGCATTCAGTTTTGTGCAACGCGAATGACCCCTTCTTTGGGTCATTCAGAAAGAGGTTTGCAGAGGTAGGTTATTTGTTGTGAAATAAATGGGTATTGACTGTGTACTTTGAGCCGTTTCAAGGCTGCTTTGCCTGGGGGAAAGGTACTGTCAGGGAAATCTCACCACCAGGATCCTTAAGGAAACAGTGGGTTATTCCTTGCAAGAACTATCCAAAACTAAAAATATTAAAGTAGAAAAATGTCTTTACTTTTAGTAACTATACTTAAAATAGTAATGTGGTAAATCGTGATCTCAACTCAGAATAAAGGTTCACTGATTCAATAAAAAAATACAAATTGCAGATTTCACTTTATATTATAATGGGAATGAAGAGTTCCAGTGTATTATGGATACATTTTCTAATATACAGTATAAATAAGACTATTTTATCAACGTTTCTACAGGTATCATTGCCGGAAATGATTACAATGTTTACCACTATTTTATATAAATTAGCATGTTATTGTGCACGCTTTATACTGAAGCCCCAGTTGTGGTGAGAAAAAAAAAATATTAATCCAGGTCTAAAGATCGTGCAAAAATATTTATGCATGTTATTTTATACAATAGACTAAACCGTAAGCATGGCCCTACTTGTTACAGGAGGAGACATAAAATAAATGTGCAGGCCGTTCGTGATTAATCATGTGTCTTTGCAGAAATATGCAAAGGAAATTGAAAAATTGTGTGGAAAAGATGGATCCCAGCTTGTTACTATGAAAGCTGAAGATTTCAATAAAAAGTTTTCTTCAAACTTGTCAAAAATTCAAGAACCGCCAAATGAACCAGGAAACCTAAAAGAATATTCTCCATGGATGAGCAATTTCAAGCCAGAGTTTTCCAGAAGTGAATTAGAGATTCCTGGTCAGTATATATTTTTACATTGTGTAACCTTTATTGAGTATAACACGTTAAACATGTTATAGAGAAGGGTTTCACTTGTTGTATAGAAGAGTAGACTGCTCATTGTCTTCCATAACAACCAGAAAAATGTATTATTGGGGTAAATCTGTTGTTGTAATGTGTAGATTGCAAACCAGCAGTTGACTTAGATGTGTGTGCCAGCTGGTCTACAGAGCTGCACCTTTTAATTATGAATTATGGTCACTAGGCAGGGGAGTTGCTGCCTGATACGCCTGCTGTGAATTAACTCTTAAATCACCAAGTGAAGATGTGTGCAGAAGAGCTCCCAATGTCACTGATGCAGACCACAGGAAAGAGACATGGCATGCTTTGTAAGGAACTGAGAGCCAGGCAAGAATAACAAATAATAGGTTATAAATAAATCCTTAGGAAAAGGAAATCATTTTTATTAGCGATGCACCGAAATTTTTGCCACCAAAACATATCGTCCGAAAATGGCACTTTTGGCAAAATGCCGAAAGTGCCATTTTCTGGGGGGGCTGAAATAGTGCTGCATCCCTGCTTTCCTCCCCACTGGGCACTGCTCTGTGTCCCAGCAGGGAGGAGAGAAACTGTCACAGGAGGCCCAGGGGTGCGGGGGGAGGAGAGCGCTGTGAGTGGCCGGCGTCTCTCCTCCCCGCACCGCTCAGCCTCCTGTGACAGGTCAGGGGAGCGGCGGTGTGGGGGCACAGACAGCTGTCATTGCTGTCACAGGAGGCTGAGCTCTCCTCCCGCACCACCCAGCCTCCTGTGACAGCCAAAAAAAACAGTTTCGGTTTCGGCCTGATATTTTTTCACATTTCGGTTTTGAAATTTTCATTTCAGTGCACTTCTAATTTTTATAGCTTAAAACCCTAGTTATGAGTGTATTTATAACAGAGAGTAGGTATCTATATCCATTCTTGGTAGATATCCATTGGTGAGAGATTCAAGATCTCTGCTGTGTCCTTCAGTGAACAGAAGAGAAATGTAATGCCTGTGATCATGCTCTTGGTACCGCTTTTCCACAAAACTAAGACATGCTGAAAGTAGGAGGGGTTATACCAGGTTGGCCATTATTTTTTTTTGCTAGTCCAAATACTCCTGTAGGTGATAGTATAACCCATTAGTCTGTGAATTAGTGTGTGCCTCAATGAACTCCAAGAAATATAAGTTCAGTAAGGACAAAATCCAATTTTTAAGAAGTCAGATGTGACAACATACATATTTCTCTCAGCCCAAGTTTTCTTGAAACTTGAAAATGAGCCTCTGTGGATAGTAATATGTGACCTACCATTGCTGATTTGTTTTTAAAGTAGCCAACTCTGGGGCTGTCATCCTAATCGCACCTTGTGAATTACAGGTCCATGGCTTAATGTGTATTATTAAGATGAATCCCCCTCAGTCTATACCTTTAAAAGCTAGTCATTTTATAGTGGCTTTCATATTTCTCTCCTAATAGGTCATCTCTAAGTGTGTTAAAAAGAATCAAAGAAATTAGTGATTCTTTGTCAGCCTGATTTCTTCACTCAAAAAAATATTATATGATGTTCCTTTTTAAATCCTTTTTTCATGTATATACCTTTTCTTTGTCACGTGTTTTTGTAGGCCAGTATAATGGAAGAAGCAATCCTCTGCCTGAGTATCATGTAAAGATTTCTGGATTTGATGAAAGGGTATGCATTCTTGTTGTGTAGGTCTCAAATATTTTATAAGGCACACTACAATTACATAAATATCATAGTGGCATGTAGTGGAGACAGCTTAAAGCAATTTATATTAATAAATATGCACACCCTAATAAGAGCTAAGACTAGATAAAGAGATTACCGTATAAGCCCCATTATAGGTCCATAGACAAACAATAACAATGCTAACACACCCATATAGTGTTTTTCAATAAATTGTATTGTGCAGAGTTTAACACGGATAACATACATCATAATACAATCCACCACCACTGTCAGTCTGAGGCCACTATACAAAAAGAAACTTGTGTAAGCAGTACATGTAATGCATACAATTAATGGAGTGGCTGGACGGTACAAGGATCAGAGTACATGCAGTAACAAAGAAGCAATACATTAGCAGATAGTAAGGAGGAGTCCTGGTGTAGTTTGAGTTGGAAGGAGGTAGAGGTCCTTCCACCTTATTCATATAATTTTATTTGGATACAATACTCCTTTTTTTTTTTTTTTTTTGTAAGGTTAAAGTTATGAGCTCCATCAGAAAACCCAAGCGTATTGTTATCCGAGGAAATGATGAGCGGGACTATCCGTTTCTGGTGAAAGGCGGTGAAGACCTACGCCAGGACCAGCGCATTGAGCAGCTCTTTGACATCATGAATATCATCCTCTCCCAGGACGCAGCTTGCAGCCAGAGATATGTGCAGATAAAGACATACCAAGTGATACCCATGACCACACGGTATAAGTTCATGTCTCCTCTGTTTTCCTTAGTTTGTAATTTAGATGTGTTTATTCTCATGTATTATAAAATAGTTTCTTAAATTACAGCAAAATCACAAATAGATATTTCCCTTTTCTTTAGAATTGGAATGATTGAGTGGCTGGAGAACACATGCACTTTAAAAGACTTTATTTTAAGAGCAATGACTGAAAATGAAAAGAAGGACTTCACTGGGTATTTATTTTTTATTATGAGTGTTGTAAACCAGATTAATTTACAGTATAACACAGTAGAGATGTTTACTATTAAAGCCTTGCCTTGTAATATAAACCAAATTCATGTGGTCTGTTCACAACACTGCATGAGCACAACTTATTAGCTTTACATAAAAGATTGACGCATTCAGTGTATTCAGACCCCCTTCACTTTTTTTATATTGAGTTATGTTGCCCCCTGATACTGCAGTTGTTTAAAATTCTTTTTTTTCCTTAATCTACATAATGACAAAGTGATAACAGAATTTTAGAAATGTCTGTGAATTTATTATAAAGAAAAAATTGAAATATGAAATTAGCACATTTCCCCATTACAGGAGATCCCACCACAAAAACAATCTTGCAACTATATTGTTATATATAAAACATATAATTTATTAAACACATGCAAAAACTTAATCCTTAAAACATATGGCACACATGTATATTGCACATAATTCACACTCGGTTATTGCTAGTGGAAATGATTCTAATGTGGACTCCTCAAAATCATTTGTATGAACTTCTTAAGAGAAGACTATTTTGCAGATTTTTTAATATCCGTATAGTGCAAACTGGGCAGATTCTCTGTGATAACCAATCTGTGTTGGGCACATGGAATGGCCGATAAACTCATGGTATCGATACTTTCTGAAATGTCAAACTCCAGTGCAAATCGCGTATTCATGAACGTCAGATATATAGAGAGAGTAGCTCAGTGAGCAGGATAAGCATCAAATGACACCTGCCGTGCCAATTCAAACCTGAATTCAGAAGCTGCAGGTACGGCCGTACAGGTGGCGGTGAGTATACGTATACTTGGCTGGTACTCTCGATACCATTGATTCCTTCAATGCCTTCCAAGGGTGTCACACACGATTGAGGTGTCGGCAAGTGTCCAAGCCGTAGCTCCTGGTATCACCTCACTATAGGTGAGAGGGACATCCACAACGCCAAGGTGAATAGCAATCACAAGGCTAAATCCTTAACACGTTTCTTCCCAACGGGGCTTCGTCAGAAGGGTGTAGTGTGCTTATACTCCCAACCAAACGGTTTAAATCCTAATCAGGATATTCCGATCACATCTGTTAATTGCGTTCCACTTGATTTCTAGGAACGGAGATAGTGGCAATGACAAGGTAGCAAATATGTAACTCCCTCCGTCTCACAGTTTGCAAAATCGCCTACTACGAATTGTTTGTCCTCTAGGGGTAATTATCTGTGGTCCCACATGGATAAACCCAAAAAATTTGCATTTCTGGCATTGGTAAGTTCCAGGGTTTCAACAACACCTCAGTTTCCTATTTCTATTAAATTCACTTTTCACTAGTTTATCTTTTAAAGACAAACATCTGCGGTATGTCACAGATGGTTTTCGATGTATAAACTTAGATATCCTAGAGCAATGCCAATGTTTAGTTAGGATATCGGAAATGGCATGATGCTGACTATTGTAGGTGAGAACCAATCTAACCTGATCAGCTCTTCCATTATTCTTTTTCTTATCAAATTTCGGTTTCACCATAACATGATTTTCTTTTGCCCTCTTATAGGCTTTAGTAAAAAATAATTATTGGAGTATCCCCTCAATTGTAACCTTTGTGTAAGGTTAGTGGCTTCCACCTCAAAGTCAGCATCTAACAAGCAATTTAGTTGTATCAAATATTGCCCATAAGGAACACTATTTTTCAAACTGATGGGATGAGCACTGCTGGCCTCCAAAATGGAGTTTCCAGCAGTGCAAATATCATGCACCTAAGTATTTAGACCCTTTACGCAGTACTTTGTTGAAGCACCTTTGGCAGCAATTACAGCCTCGAGTCTTTTTGGGTATGACGCAACAAGCTTTGCACACCTGGATTAGGGGATTTTCTGCCATTCTTTGCAAATCCTCTCAAGCTCATGTCCGTTCTGAGGTCCTGAGCACTGTGGAACAAGTTTTCATTGAGTATATCTCTGTACTTTGCTCTATTCAGCTTTCCTTCAACCGTGACCAGCCTCCCAGTCCCTGCGTCTGAAAAACACCCCCATTGCATGATGCCGCCACCATGCATCACTGTTGGGATGGTATTGGGCAGGTGATGAGTGTTGCCTGGTTTCCTCCAGACATAACATTTAGAATTGAGGCCAAATAGTTCAAACTTGGTTTCATCAGACCAGAAAATCTTGTTCCTCACAGTCTGAGTTTTTTGCAAACATGAAGGCCAGATCAGTGGAGGGCTGCAGTGATGGTTGTCCTTCTGGAACTTTGTCCCATCTCCACACAGGATCTCTGGAGCTCAGTCAGAGTGACCATCGGGTTCTTGGTCACCTCTCTTACTAAGGCCCTTCTCCCCTGATTGCTCAGTTTGGCCAGTTGATCAGCTCTCGGAAGAGTCCTGGTTGTGCCAAACATTTTCCATTTGAGAATTATGGAGGCCACTGTGTTCTTGGGACTCTTCAGTGCAGCAGAATTTTTTCATAGCCTTCCCCAGATCTGTGCCTTGCAATAATCCTGTCTCTGAGCTCTGTAGGCAGTTCCTTTTGACCTCATGGCTTTTGCTCTGATACAGTATGCATTGTCAGTTGTGAGACCTTCTATAGATCAAATCATGTCCAATTAATTTAATTTACCACAGGTGGACTCCAATCAAGGTGTAGAAACATTTCAGCAACGATCAAGAGAAATGGGAGGCACTTGAGCTAAATTTCAAGTGTTGTTGCTTATGCCAATGTGATATTTCAGTTTTTTCTTTTTAATTCACAGTCATTTCTAAAATTCTGTCTGTGCCATAACCAAATGGAAAAAAGTGAAGGTGGTCTGAATACTCTATATGTATACTACCTTTGCTAAACTGTGATTGTGGAATGAAGAGATTCTGAAGGGGAAGAACACTCATCGGGGTACACAGCAAAGCTCTGGGTGTATAAGTCCTGCCTCTAGGTACTGGAACAAAAGATATACCTCTATAATTAATTAAAATGTTTACTGTAAATGACCTATGTACTCTTATCATGAATATCTTTTCTTGTACTAAGCACTCCCAGTGCATACAGATAGAATAATTTCCCCCCTCATTTTTTGTAATGAGTGACAGGAAGCAATGATCTCTTCAAAAGGGACACAGAAATCCCTTTTAGTTCAGTTGAGTGTGGAAGTTTAAGAAGCAGTAAGTATAAATTGCTCTCTGTGTCTCCATTGGGGATATTTTCTGTCAAATCCTGTCCAGAGACACTGTGATGAAAATCTCCCCAACAGGTATAAAGACAGAAATGAAAATCTAAATCTATAAAGCTTCTAAATTCTATTCAAAACTGAAAAAAGTTGTGCGTGTAGTTCTAGATTAGAACAGCTAAAACTTAACTATTTCAGGGCTATCACAGATGTTGTTATTTCACTGCAGAAAGTGTAACCCAGAAGCACATTACAGAGCCTGGCTGGACAAGAAGGACAAAGATGGCAGCCCACTGCAACACTGTAATACATACAAGTAAGTAACTAGATCATTTCTTTTTTAATATTTTTATCTGCTAATCATTACTTTACACTGGATTTGTGAAGCAACACGTCCTAATTTCTGCTTGTTTTACAGAAATGCTAATAATTCCTCCACAGTGAAGTCTTTCAGGGAAAGAGAAGCTCTTGTTCCTGGAGACCTGTTACGGTGAGTAGACCGTGCTTCAGCTGCAGTTTGGGGTGGGCTATAAAGTTGGGTTTTTGTTCTCCTATACTGTATTGAACTCTCACATGTATTTATTATAAATCATATACACTGATGGATTACCCTAAATAAATGTGTAATTAATATGGCTTACATTTTATTTCAAAAGCTTATTTTGTTGTGTGGATCCAGACAAACAGAGGAGGGCATATATACATGGATTGTCAGGGAGTCTATATAAAATCTTCTTTCTGTATTTCAGACGGGCCTTTGTAAAGATGAGCACGACTCCTGAAGCTTTTCTTACCCTGCGCTCCCACTTTGCCCGCTCACATGCTTTGCTGTGCATCAGTCACTGGATACTTGGCATAGGAGATCGCCACCTGAGCAATTTCATGGTCAATATGGAGACTGGGGGAATGATTGGCATTGACTTTGGTCATGCTTTTGGTACTGCTACGCAGGTAATAGAAAACCTAACTAGCAAACTTGATATCGAATCTTCTACATTAGAACTGTATTCACGTTCCACTTGTATTTAGACCGGAACCTCCGGTAATTACTATTCTTAGGAGCATTATTGTGTAACCACTAGTTCCTAATTCCTTGGAGGTTTCTGAGTGGCCTTTTGATAGCCAATGTCTAGCTATGACAACAATATACAGATACAGTTTTAGGACTGACCACAAAGTCCATTATATTACATATGTAATGTTGTGAGTTTAATAAGTGCGTTTGCAGCTCTATAAATGGAGAAAGAAAACCGAATAATAAATAGTTTAGCCGGACATTAACCCTTTCCCTGCCACCGACGTAAGGCATATGACGGAGAAAAACTGTTCCCAGACTGCCAGGTCAGTATGCCTTACGTCGGTGGCATTTATCGTTCTGCTATAAGCTCATGGTCGCTTTAGCGACCATGAACTTATGTCTGAGCAGTTCCCCTTTAAAATAATAGCTATCAGCGAGAGGAGTCGCTGTCATCCTGTCAGTTTCAGGATGACAGCTGCTGTGTGCGTAGCTGAGTGGAGGATAGGTAAATATCAGTGATATTTATCGATCCTCTGTGTGCAGAGCAAACACTAGAGTGATCATCTGATCACTCCAATGTTTGTAAATAATGGGGGACACCCAGTTATGAATGAACAGGAAGTGCTTTACATCACTTCCTGTTCATTCATGAATTTCTCAGTGGGGAGAAGCGCTCACTACAGAGGCTTCTCCCTATTCAGAAACTGGCTAATAGTAAATGTTTTACTATCAATAGTTTCTGAAAGAATGGGACGGCTCTGTACTGAGTGCTCTCCATTCATTTAGAACAGAGGCTGCAGGAAAAGAAATTGAAAAATGGAAGACTGTGTCCTCCATTTCTATTTCAAAAGGGAAATGTCAGGGGTGTCTTCGAAAAACCCCATCCGCCCCCCCCC